CTATTTCATAACATAAACCACAATAAATTCCAGGTGGCATACAGTTGATATAGAAACATTAAATATGTTTCGAATGAAACAAGGAATGAATTAAATATTTAGAGGCATCTATAACTAATCTTCTATTTAAATTAGTCTTTCGAAATGTTGGTGCTTGCTGATGAAAGTGGAACCAAGACCACAGAAACAAATTTGTTTATTGAGGGGAAAATTTTTAATAGAAAAGGAGATCATAAAAAAAATATAGGTCAGTAGTTAAATTATTTTAGAATGGGGAAAGATTAACTGAGAATAACTCAAAGGAGGATATTATAAAGGAAAAGATGAATGGATTTAATCCTATACAATTGAAGACACATGTTTTGTTGTTGTTGTTGTTGTTGTGGGCTTGTCTGTCTAATCCAACTGCCATTCTCAACCCCCATCTCTGAGGCCTATCACATAGACTATGGAAAAGTGGGTATTTGCTTTCTCAGCTACCCATCTGACTATGGATAGAATATGTGACTTAGTTATAGCCAAGGGGACATAAGGACTGTTTCTGGAAAAGCTTTAACTTTGCTACACAAAGGTACAGAATCTTCTGGTATCTCTGTTCCTCTTGCTTCCTGCCTTGAATGTGTGCTATGATGTCTGTTGCTGTATTAACCATCTTAACACCATGAGACAGTGAACATGAGATTAAAAACTCATCATGCAGAGGATGATGTGGTGAAGAGCAAAAGAAACAGGGTAGTTTATGGCATTAGTGAGCACTACACCTAACCTGGGCCGTCTGCCCCCAGACTTCTTGTTATGTCAGATAACTAAATGTCTTCATTGCTCAAGTCACTGTTAGTCACTTAATTTGTTATTTGCAGATGAAAACACCCTAAATGAAATACAACTATAACCACCACCAAAAAATTACCATAAATAAAATTAAAAGCAAACAAAGATTGGGGAAAATATTTGCAATATATATGATACATTAAAATGCAATATTTTTGATAACATAAGAACTTGCAACTCCTCAAAGATGTAAATGGTCAAAAATGAATAGAAAATAATTTCCCCTTACTGGAAATTCATGAAAGAGACATAAAATGTAAATAAAAATACCAAAAGACATATCAAATTGGCAGAGTTTTAAAATAAGAAAATAACTTTAAGGATTAAGGAAGATTGGGGTGGGGGCAGAAGAGAGTGCAAATTTAGTTTTTCTAGAGGACAATTTGTCGATCTGTATATAGGCTTCAAAACATGCATAGTCTTGAATTTGCCATTTTACGTTAAGGACTTTATCTCAAGGAAAGAATTATAGTTATGCGAAAAGCTATAGCCACAAAGATGTTCATCACAGTATTGTTTAAAATGGTGAAGGATTAGAAACAACTTCACTTCAACAACGGCAGACTGATTAAACAACTTATGGTATGCCTTTTCCAGATAATGAAATACTATGCCAATATTAAATGTTACTGTAGGAAAATATTTAATGGTATGGAAATATATGCTATAAGTGAGTCAAAAGATTACAAATCAGAATATAAAAATACGCATAGAAGAAAGACTGGGAGGAAACCCACCGAAATATTAGCAATAGTGTATGTTGGTGCGGTTAGGGATGGTTATGAATTTATTCTGTTGTGGTTGTTTTTGTTTTTATATATATTTTTTCCTGCAATAAACCTGCACTGCCTTTGAATGAAAGGTGCAATTATAAAGGGGTTTCTAGGAGGCTCTAGTCTTGGGGGAAACAAATTTTGGAACCCCTCTCTTCCTTCTGTCCTCTTCCCCCCTTTTCTGCCAACTCCGGGCTCGCTCCCTCTGGGTGCTTCCACCTCCTTGCTTCCATGCCCCACCCCTCCCCGCCCCGAGCTTCCTTTAACACGGTCTCTGGAAAGCGCTGCTCTGGAGCTCAGCTCGGCGGAGACTGTGACCTGTCGCTCCAGGGGAGCCGCGTCTCCCCCGGAGGGTGCTGGGCCGGGAGAGAGGCTCCTGGCTTTCCCTGAACCACCAGTCAACTGGTGTCTGTCACACTAGCCGAAAGACCTTTCCAGAACTCTGTGATTTTCTTCAATTCCCTGGTGATTTCCGCGATCGCAGCACGCCTGCTGGTCAGCAGCGGTGCCCACAGCTAACCTCACTCTGGTCCTGCTTGCGACCTATCAACTGCGGTGGGAAAAGGCAGCGCTGAGCCCCCAAAAGCAAACTCCTAGGAAGTCGCATTCCCTCCTCGGGAAGGCCTCCCACTTGATTGCCTTCCGTGCCCTCTGACACCTGCGAGCACCAAACAGGCTCCAAAGCACTTTCCTAGATCTAATTCCATGCTAAACCAAAATGCGGCAGCGCCCACTGCGGGAACCAGCCCCGTGCCAGGCCAAAGAGCTGTAAAGACAAGTAAGTCAGAATTCTGGTCTCAAGGAGCTCGCAGACCAGGTAGAGAGAAAAATCACCGCCACAGGAGACTCACAGGACCTAGTGAGATACAACAAGCAAACACTATCATGCTCATTTTACAGTTGCAGGCATTGAAGGCAAACAAGAGTTTCTTGAACACTTACTACGTGCCAGATAGTCTCACCTAAACCACCTTCTTACCCGTAAGGCAAGTGTAGCTCTGGGGGCATAAATATCCCCATTTTATCAATAAGGAAACTGAGGTTCAGAGGAATAACCCCCATTTCACTGGTTAGGAAACTGAGGCTCAGAGAGTCAGATCAAATGCCCAAGACCTCACCAGTAAGTGCGCGGCTCTAATCCGGGTCTGCGGACACCTAAGCTGGAAGAATTTCTCCTTCGCTGCGCAGCCCGCCCTGTAGGGACAATTGGAGCGCCCCAACTTGTCCTAGGTCAGAGCCGCCGAAAAGTGCGGAGTTTCTAGGGCTTCGTGGCCTTTAGTCCAGCGCCCCCTACATGGTGCGGCCGGCATTGCTCAAAACACTGCTCAAAGAGCTGCGGGCCCCTGGGGCTGCTCCCACGCGGGGGACCGCCAAGCCTGTGACCCCCTTCTGCTCTCCGTCGGGAAATCAGAATAAGTGGAAGTGAGCCGCCCTTGGAGGGTGAGACGGAGCTGCTCCGCCCGGCGAGCTAGCTCTGTTTTCCCAGCTGGTTCTGAGGTTTCACCGCAGGCGCCACGTCCCGCACTCCCTGGACCCACCCACCCCTAAATGCGTGTCTAGCTCCCGGAGGTGCGGGGGTGGGGGTGGGGTCCCTATCAGACAGAGATGGAATTGCTAGGCCTTGGGTAGCATTTGAGGAGATTCCACAGTTAGAAGTCCAGTTTACACCTTTAAAGACAACTTGAAAGCATGGATTTTACCCAAGTGCGCTTTTCCCCCCCTCGATTTTCTCTCTTGCCACGTGAGGTGTGTGGTGCGGGCGGAGGTGACAGTGATGTATGTGTGTTGGAGGAAGAGATCTCTTAGTGCCAAATGGAAATTCTAGCTGGTGCCATATTTGTAGTTGTTACCGCTCCCCTCCACTCCCAAGTCAGGAGGGGGAGTTCGGAAGGCAAGTGTATTATGGAGAAGAAAGTTGGATGGGGAAGCCAAGGGTGTGTTTCTGGGGGCCAGGAGGAAGAGGCGACCTGCGGAGGGTGAGAGGGAGCCTTTTGTCACCCCTCCCCTATCCGAGGAGGGCGGTGCCTGGTGGGGGCTGCGGTCCCCAGCGCACAGAGCGCGGAGTGAGCGCGGGGCCGGAGTGAGCGCGTGTGCATGTGTGTACGTGAGTGTACGTGTGAAATGTGGCGGCGCCGGCCGCGGCGGAGTGTATGCTCGGCAAAAATATGAATAATCAACACATCGCTCACACCTCCGCCGAGAGCCGGGAGGGAGCTGGGAGGGAGCTGGGAGGTCCCGAGAGCTTTCCCCAGCCGGCTGGCGGGAGGCGGGGACCACCAGGAAAAGAGGGGAGCATTTCAGAGTAGTTCTTCAGTTATCTTTCCCCTCAACTGAGCCGAGAAACCGAAAAAAAAGGGAGAGGGGGAAAAGTCATATTTAACTTCTTCTGTTTAAAGGCCTTATATTGCACGCCAGCTGTGATGTATTGGAAGTGAAGACTAGTGTGGGTCTTTGTTCCCAGTTTCCCAATTTATTGGCCGAGAGGCCATCTCGCAACCTCATTTTGTACATTTGTAGACTGGGAGCAAATAAATCCCACTGAACGTGTTGCTGTCGAGTTTAAGGACAGTGTGTGGCAGTGCCTGGCGCCCAGGAAATGCTGGGAGAACGTCCCGCTTCGGTTCTTTTGTATCTTACTCCCCGCTTTATCTTGAGTGAAGACCTATTCGACTGGGTCTCTTAATGCCGGTCAATTAGCCCCTCGATCGCTGCGCCTTAAGTGCCGTGGTTGACGGAGATGCCAACGTCTCGGGGCCCAGGTACCCGGAAGGGGCTGCAACCCGCCAGTTTACCCCATCGCAGCGCCAGTCGGGGGCCTGAAGCTCGGGCCATCCCACCCACCCACCCAGGAAGCCAGGCCCCCAGGTCTGCGTGGAGGCTGCACAAAGCACTTCTCTCTCTACAGATCACCTGCCTCCCAACACACACACCTCCAGGGCAGCCATTCCCCGCCCTGGCACCGGCCCAGTTCCGACGCCAGCTCTCCAAATGTCCAAACGCGGGGCTGTTTGGAAAATTTGTTCTCTTGACCTTTCTGCTTCTTTGCCTCAGTGCGGGCTCCCTCGCTCTCTGCGCCTGGAACAAGGAAATGGGAAGGAAGGGTGTTTCAGAGCGGGGATACTGAGGGGAGAGGGAGCAAGCCAGAGAGGAGGAAGAAAAAGAGGAGAGAGGGGAGGAAGAGCTTTCTGGAGTTGCCAAGTGCTAGGGCAGAGCCAACTCCGGCTCCTTCAGTCCATTTTGGGTAAACTCATTGCAGTGACCTGACTGGCCCGGGTGCAAGCAATCTCATGTGTCTATAAAACGTTCTTCCATGCCTCAGCATTTCTGCAGCTGTTCCTGCTCCAATCCCCTTCATTATGTAAAAAATCAAGAAGCGAATCTAACTTCTTACCAAATTGTCCTGAAAGAGAATTGTTCGGCATGGATGGTGGAGTCCTCCTGAAATATTTGTGGTGCTTTTGTGAATACAGTAGTATCTTTTCTCCCTCCCTCTCTAGGGAATTCTTATTTATGGAGCATACAAGTCCAGTTTCTGCAAGAAAAATACTGACGATGAAATTTGGAGTGGGAGTTAGTGGAGTTGGATGTTTTTAAAAATCATTCCACGAAGAATTGTGAGCTAAATACTCAGCAGCGTTCTGAGATGGAGAGCAAATCCATTTATTTCTATTCCCGCAAACAAAAAGCAAAGGTTCCAACTAAAACAAACAAACAAATTGGAAAAATCACTAAGAGAGGCTTACTTGTCCATTTACAAAACCCAGACTGATTGTCCCTATGGATCGAATTCCCTGGGTACTAGCCAGGCTCTGTTCTTCGGGCTGCATAGACCCAGGCGCCTCAGTGAGTGTCTGGTGGGTGTGGGTGAAGGTCAGATTGTAAGGGGGGGGGGCTGTTTTCACACCTCTGATTTCACCCCAGTGTCCTGCCTGACGAGAACGAGGCTTGGTGAACAATTTTCTAAGAAAAATTTCCAAAGCTCTGACCCGGAGGAGGAGAGATGTGGCGCCCAGGAGACTGGACCAAACGATATTGGGGGAAACGGGCTTTAAAACCGATCCGGAGGAAATTGAACATATCGCACTGAGGTGCGGACGTGAAACGTGAACGGAAAGAAAACCCGGGAGTTCCTTGGGAAGAGTGAACAAAGGAGAGGACAGGGTAAAAGACGGAACACCACCCCCTACCTCAATTTTGTGTAAATAGAAGGTCGTGAAGTATTTTAATAATGGTCATTTTAGATTTTTCTCGACGCTGGCAAGGGGCAGAACGAAGCTCGCGGGCGGGAGCCGGGGATGCGCGCGAGGGCTCCGCACCCCCGCAGGGCCGGGCTTCCCCGGGCCGCAGCTGCGCCAGCCGGGCCCCCGCGCGGCTCAGGGCGGGATTTCTGTGGCGTGCTCTAAAAGGAGGTTTGCTGGGGGTAGCCGGCGGCTACAGAGACGGGAGTGACCCTCCAGGAACAGCCGCTCACTTCATCACCAACCAACGCTCCTTCTGTGCGGGTGGCCAACTCTGCGTCCATCCTCCCCCAAACCTACACAAACCTAATTAAACCCGACTCATTTGGCAGAGACGCTCCCTGCTCCCCAAAGGTCGAAGCGCCGCCTCGTTTGGGCCCAAGGCAGCTTCCGCTTACTCCCTGTCCCCTCAGCCCTCCTTCCCGCGCTAGCCCAGGAACTTCGTCCCCACCCAGAGGGAACTTGGACGCCCGCGGCTCGCAGCGGGTGGGCCCCCGGCAGCGCGGCGGCTGTTTGCCCGGAGCGCCCTAAGCAGCGCGGGAGGGCGCCCCTAGCGCAGCCGGCTTGGAGGGGTGCGGTGCAGCTCCCGCCTCCTCCCACGTCAAAGTTTCGGGGTCTCGGCTCTCCCAAACTACCTCCCTGCGGGGCACCACGGCCCCAGAACTTGTCTCTGGGAGGTGGGGTGGGGCGCCCGCGCTGCGCGGCCGTCTGGTTTGGGGCGGGCAGCAGGGAGCCGGGAGAAAGGACCAATTCATTCGCTTCCTGAGGGGCATAATTTGGGTGGCAGCTGTTGCGGGAGAGAAGAGCCAGCGTCCTCGACCGGGGCTCTGTCCTTTAACCCCAGCTACCCCGGACCTGAAGGGCAGGCTGTTTGGCCAGGCTCGGGCCCACTGCTGCCTCGCGGTCCCTCGGACTGCGCTCAGTACCTCTCTTGGGCAGCGTGGAGGTGCAGCAGATCAGAGGCCCCTTGAAAAACATCGCCGGGCTCATCAACACATCTTGAGGGGCTCAAGGGCTGTTCCACACTCTCCGCCGCCACCCGAGGCATCGGCTCCGCTGGGCACAGACCGCAGATGAGAATGGGGCTGGGTGGTTTAGGTTCAGAGAGATTTTATGAAGAGTGCGGGCCGGGGTAGAAGACTCCGAGAGCTTAGTGTTTGCAGGGACCGAAATTATCCATAAAGCCTGCATACAATAGAGAATTGCCAGGTTGAAACAGGGTAGAAGTTTCAATCCTACAGATTTCTCTCCACCCTCCTTTCTATGGACAACTCCTATTTTGGTTTTTACAACAGTCCTGTGCCATACCCTGGCGCCCAGTCTTTCTTCATTGCTCCCTTTTGTCCAACAGGACCAAGCTGGAGCCCTGGGGTCGCAGTGCCACAATCAGCACAACCCAGGGGCGGGGGTTTCACGTTCTCCGCCTCCTAAATCAACTACCCCAATCCCTGGACCCTGGGTTGGTGCATAAAGGGTTCGCTCACCTTCCCCCACCCCCTCCTCATTGGTTTTCAAGTGAGTATCTGTAGTAGAGACCTGCGCATCCTGAGCGCGATCCGCGGGCGCAGTCTAGGGTCTCGGTTTGCCCCTGGGATAGAGTAGAGACGCAGACCGGTCCCTCTCTCAAGAGAGCTGCATTTTCTGAAAGTGCGAGCTTCCAGTCGGCTCTGGCAAACGAGTTGCAAGGCGCTGTGTCCTCTAGCGGCAAACTCTCGCAGTTCATTTCTGAGCGCTCACCTACACCTAAGGGATCTGGTCGAGAGTCAATAGACGCTCAAATTTGAGTCCTATGTGGGGGCAAAGTCTCCCGAATGTAATCCAGGCTTTAGCCAAGGCCCTCTCAGTAATGAAGCCGGGAGGCTCGGGCGCAGTCGCTCGAACTGTGGAACAGCTGATTTGTCTCCTCCACGGCAGATGGTCTTTGAGCACAGATTTGCATTCATTGTCTTCAAATCTGTTTTCGCGCTGGTGTTCTAGATTTCAGCAGCAGATCTATGCGCAGATCAGAATACAAAAGGAGAAGCAAGAAAATAACACCCAGCCAGGAGGATTTTTAATAGGCACCGCGAGCTGCCCGGCGTAGTTAAAAAGCCGTCTAGGGTTTCAGCTGTTTGGCTGAGCTGCCGCCGCCTCCCGGCCACCAGCCCGCGGGCAGCAACGCGGCGACCGCACGCCCGTGGGCAAAGTTTCCGCGACTTCCCCTCTGCCTCCCTGCAGCTCCTCTGCTGGCTCCCCCCGGGGCTTCAGGAACTGGAGTGGAGTGGAATGGGGGGACTCCCGGGACAACGCCGGGAAGCTCTCGCGCTCAGCGAACCACGATCTGTCAGCAAGCTCTCATCTGTACGGGTGCGACTCCCGCTCATGTCTGCCCGGGGGTATTTTCCTTAGCTCCTTGACCGTTTTCCGTGACACTCTATTTATTTGAATAGCACTTGAGCCTTGCTCGTCCCCCACCCTGCTGCTTTCATTCATATATCCTCCTCTCTCAACAACTTGTAAACCGCACACAAAATCTGAGTGTCACCACGAGACTCCAGGAGACTTGGGGAGAGCCATTCAGGGAACTGGGTTGCTCTGGGGAACGTTTGCACAAAACATAAGTACATGTGGTCACACTCTCCACTTCTTCACAAACATGAACACAGATTCAAACCCAGAGAATGAGAATGAATATGCCTCCCCGCAGGCTACAAAAATTTGCATCTAGTGGCAAGATCCACGGAGTATTCCTGCTCCCGCGGCCTGACTAAGCGGAGACATCCCAACCTGCAGGGGCTGACTACTCGGCTTCAGTGCAAGATTTGGGGGCCTCAGCCCACGCACGCACTCGGGGTTCGGGCATGGACGCAGCGTCCACGGCTTTCTGTCCCCTTTCACCTCCCGGACTCCCAGCAACGCCGAGCGTGGCGCGCGCCGCCGGAGGACGTCGGCCCGGCCTGCCCAGCGCCGGCCAATCCCGAGCGTCCATGCAAATGAGGCTCCTTATCGGGCCGCGGCTCCGCCTCCCGCGGCCGCGGCTGTAGTAACCCATTCATGGGGCCCGCGCGCGGCTGCAGCCCGGCTCCGCGGTGCTCCCAGCCACCGCCTCCTCTCGGCTCCGGGTCTTCCCCTTCCTTTTACAACTGATCCAGTTGGGGATTTTTTTTTTTTTTTCTAAATTCGAACGGTGGGGAGGAGCAGGGAGGGGGGACCAGGAGGAAGGAGAGAGATTAGGCAGCCATCAATCTCCTCCTGTTTCTCCCAGAACAGGTGATGCTTCTAAATTGTGATCACTTTCTGGAGGCAGCGCTGCCGCTGGAAGGATGCGAGCGACCTAGGACGGAGGCCCTGAGGCGGCAGATCTGAACTTGCGGAGGATAAATAGCAAACTTTAACTACATCAGTCCGCACCTCACGCGCGAAGCAAAGGACGGGTTATCTCTTTTAGCCGCCCCCCCCCCCCCAACGAGAGACTCAAACTTCGGCTCTTGATCCCTTTTCTTGGATTGCTTTGGAGGAGACGGTTTGGTGACAGCATTGGAAACAGTAGGGACAGTGTTGTAACTCGTATTTTTAAAGCGACAGTAGACCAGACTTTTTAAATGTTTGGGATTCAAGATACTTTAGGAAGAGGACCAGCTCTGAAAGAGAAATCACTGGGTGCCGAGATGGATTCGGTCAGGTCCTGGGTCCGGAATGTCGGCGTGGTGGACGCCAATGTCGCGGCGCAGAGGTAACGATACGGTCTCACAATTATTACGGTCTTAAATGCTTTTCTTCGTTCCCTTTCTCGCTCTCACCGTCTGTCTGTCTGTGTGCCCCCTCTCTCTCCCCGCATCTGTCGCCCTGGCCCCGCGCGCTGGAGCTCGACCTAGGGCAGGCAGGTCGCTGCAGTCAGGGTACACTTACCCCGCAGCCGACACTCGAGTTTCCGAACTGCCTGGGTCGTTTGTGTTTCTCCCCCACTCCTTCCCCACAGACCACTCTTCGGGAAGAAAAATAACAAAGTGGCATCCAATGCTTTGCAGCTCAGCCCTTGGTTCTGCGATGCGGGCCCGGCCGGGAGCAGAGCGCTAGGACCGGAGCTGGCAGCGGCGACAGCCGGCGAGCCGGCTTCCCGGAGCCTCCCGGGTTTCGCCACGCCGCTTGCAAGCGCCTCTCCTCCCGCATCTTGCCGGGTGATTCCTGAAGGCCGGAAGCCCCGCGGCCAGATGGCGGCGGCGACGCGAGGAGTGGGAGAGGCCGGAGCCGCTGCTGGGAAGGCAAAAGCGGCCGGGAGCTCCGGGGCGTGGGGGGGGGGGGGGCAGGCTGGAGGGTCCAGGCGCAGAGATCAAACAGTGGACCAGACGCACGGAAGAGCGGGTGAGGGAAGAGAAGGGATTAAAAAGAGAAGACGAAGGAGTAACAGTAGAAAGAGCCACAGAAGAAGAAGAAAGGCGAGGAGAGGAGACGGGCCGCAAACGCAGGGATCAGCAGCCTTTAGTTTTGCTAGTTACTGAAGTTGACTTTGTTTCTAAACGTCCGCGTGCTGAGATAGTAAACGCCTTGTTTAGGGTGCCACCCCACGGAGGCATTCTGGTCCCTTTCCCTCATCACCACTACTGAGCTGGGATTTGTGGTCTCCGCGTCCTTGCTTTCGAAAGACAGCCTTCCTCCCACAAACCCCAAAGAGCCCACGAACTTCTTCCCACGACTCCAGCCTTCCTATCCGCTCTCCTAGCCATCTCCCTTTAAGTCCTGACATCCCGCAGAGAAATGCCTCCCCTCCCAGATAGGCCACGTCTCCAGGTGTCCCGGGTAGAGCGAACCAGCCGCCATCCTTGGAGGAGAGGAGACCCGGGCGGCCCGCGGCTCCCTCCCTTCTGCGGGAGCCCGGGGCGCGCCGATACCCCCGGCAGACGGCACGAGGCAGAGGCGGCTTTCCGCCGCGGTCTGGGGACTCGCAGGGCTCAGGCGGAGGGAAATCAGGCGGCTTCACAGAGCCGGCTCCAAGGTGCATTTCCTTAGCCAAGCACCTTAAAGATACCTCCCCTACTTTCCTCCTTTACCCGGATCAAATCATTGTTAAACTTGGAATAGGCAGCCCGAGGGGGACTCTAGCCAGAATTTTACGCCATTCAAAAGAGTGAAAGTGCTCACACCCTGGGGTACGAGGACCAGAGATCCCAGCGCCGCGGGGCAGCACTGGCCATCTGCGCGCTCGCCTGGGCCCTGAGACTTCTGTTAAATGTGATCTGGCGGCTAGTTTGTCCCCGGCCGCGACAGGTCTGCAAGGAGGTGTGTGCACACACTCAAAACGCTCAGGGGCGCCTCCCGGGCCCCCCAACAGGGGTTTCGCGGTCAGCGGGTTTGGCTGGCGCCGCCGGGAGATGCAGCTTAAGCGGGGATCCCCCTGGCCCCAGGCGAGGACGCTCTCTGCCTCTTAATAACATTTTGCCTTCTCCAAGCGCAGCAGTTCTGGGGGCGGGGTCCCCAGTATCCCGTGGTCCGCAGTGGCCCGCGAACCTTGGTCCCGGGGATTCCACTCTGCCACTCTCCCGCGCGCAACTTTTCGGAAGAGCGAGGGAAGCGGGAGGAGAGGCCTCTCCCGGTAGAACCGAGGCTTGGGCTCTGGGTTTCCCGCCGCCCCCAGGGGGTTCCCCACCCACCAACTTTTGGAGAGAGCAAGGAGGGCGTAATGGGCAGTAGCAATAGGTCAGGTAACTCCAATGAAGATGAAGGAAATGGGTCACTTCTTCAAAAGTAAGGAGGATTTATTGCCCTAACCCCGGGGGCCTAGTTCCCAATCCTGACCCAGCTGGCAGCTCCACTTGAGGGTGAAGATAGGGGCGGCCCTACGGCATAAGACTTGAACGGCCTCCTTCAGGACTGCTTTGGGCCTTGGTCTGCAGCGGGCATCCTTTGGTCTCCACTAAAGGCCAGACTGTGAGCTGCTGGGCCCTGGGATGCCCGGAGGCTGGAACAGCGGGCGGTGGCAGTGGAGAGGGGCGTTCGCCCTGTCAGCCAACCCCTGTGGTCACTGTAACTACTCGAAAGAGTCCCCTCTTCTTAGACTGAATTGCAAAAAGGTCTGAGCGGCCCAGAACTCTGGACCCGGGATGGGGACCCTTGACCCCCCGCAGTATTTGTGTGGGCATGTTGGTAACATGGTATCTTTCTCTCTTTCCCTCTGTCCGGTGTCCCCCATGTCTTTTCCTGTGCAGCGGAGTGGCCCTGTCCCGGGCCCACTTTGAGAAGCAGCCTCCTTCCAACTTGAGGAAATCCAACTTCTTTCACTTCGTTCTGGCGCTCTATGACAGGCAGGGGCAGCCAGTGGAGATTGAGCGCACAGCCTTCGTTGATTTTGTGGAGAACGACAAAGTAAGCGGAGGTCCCCTTTTCCTCACCGCCTAATAACTACCTCCTTGCAAAGCACTAAAGATTCCATCTGTCACTCGCGACACTTTTCCACTCACATCATCAGGAATGATAAATCGAGGCTTCTCGCCCCAGCCTCTGAATCAGTTGATTTCCCGGCACCTCCTCGCTGCGGGGGCGCTGATGGCTCTGTGAACCCAGACTCTGGGGTCATTAGCAGAGCCTGGTCATGGACTGACCGTGGAGCAAACGCCCTTCAGAGCAGAGCATGCCCTTCTCCGGGTTATTTTTTGTTATTTTGCACCTGCCAGTGCTGGCAGAGTGGATACCCAGAGCCAAGTCTTGGCCCACCTTCCCCGTTGAGCCTTCTCTCCCGCTCTCGCTCCCCAGCGCAGTGTCCACTCTGACCCCAGCTCGGGTTTGGGGGCTGGATTCGATCTCAGATGAAATGGACATGTGATGAGAGGAAAGTCTCTTGCCCTCTCTGGGCCTGCGAGCTTTAGGGCTGGAGCTTCCTGAGGTCCTGCTCGAATCTGGGCCTGGGTCCCTGAGCTTGTGGCCCCAGAGGCTCTAGTCTTGGTGGGATAGAGCCAAATGCTACCCTTGCAAATGACAGGTCCCTGCATCTTTCTGCCAAGAGAAGCTTTGGGGCTTCTTAAGGATGGACAGAGCCTGTAGGGTTGGGTGGGGCCTGTTTAAAGGTATCCTTGGTGCGGTGTCCTATTGTCGCGTCTCAGGGGCGGGGGTGTCACACTTCTGAGGACATTTTTAAGGGGGAGGGAGAGAGGGGTTGCAGAGGGTCAAGTGGCCCGAGCCCTAGCAAGTTTCAGGGGTTGGCCTCCGGCAGATGCTCCTGCCCTTTGACCTGGGGCTGGGCAGGGGGTTGTTCAAAGTTGCCTAGTGAGTGGGGAAAAGTTGGCGGGAGGCGGGGTGGGGTGCGCTCTCTAGTTTTTCCTTCATTGGGTGGGGGGTGCTGGAAGGCAAGGGACTCGAACGCTGCCTGTCTTTTCAGGAACAAGGCAACGAGAAGACCAACAACGGCACCCACTATAAGTTACAGCTTCTCTACAGCAATGGTGAGCGCCTAGCGCCGGCTGCGGCGCCCGCACGTTTCTCTTGCTAGGAGGGCGGCTGACCACTTTGCAGTCGCTTGCCGGCAGCCTCCAGGCCTGGGGAGCGCAGGGCTGCGGGAGGCTCGGGCAGGGCCGGGGGCGGGTGGGCGGCCTTTGCACCCAGGACCGCACAGCCGGAGTGCTTGCCTGCAGTCGGGAGCCTGGAGCGGCTGCCCTGGCCTCGGTCCCCACAGCGGGGACGGGTTTGGGTGCCGAGAGCGGCTCCGCGGCCCTTACCTCGTGCCCGCCCCCTCCCCCGCAGGCGTCCGCACCGAGCAGGACCTGTACGTCAGGCTCATCGACTCGGTCACCAAGCAGGTGAGCCGGCGGGCCACCCCGTCTACTCTTCTCCCCGGCGCCCCCCCACCCCCGCACCTCCCTCCCTCCCCGCCTGCCCCTGACCTCTGCCCAC